GATCGCCCACGTAGCCCGTCCCGTGTCAGCGTTTCCTTGCCACGCGGCGTGTCCTAGTTAGCCGGGGCTGCTGACGTGGCGCAACTTTTTTAAATTGCGTTTTGACCCCTGGTTTCCGATTTTCTTTTCAAAAATACTCCCATAATCCAAATTTTCACCCATTTTTCTCAAAATCAATTTCAATTAATTCCAAAAAATATTTTTACCCAATTTTATCATTATTATTATTTTTATTTTCATTAAATTAAATTAAATTAAAATCTAAAAAATTCAAATACAAAAAAAAAATAAATAAAATAAAAATAATATATAAAAAAAATATTTTGGGTGTTACAACAATGATATATATAAAAGAAACTTACTTCAAAATTTCTAAAGAATATTATGACATCATTTAGCCCAGAAAGATCACAAGTATCTTTTTATAATAGCCATATAATGAGAGACATGCAATGTTAGAATTTTCTTTTTCTTTTTAAAAAATAGACCTTACTATACTCTTGAAACAAAATTAGTTAATTATGATAATACTATAACAACCAATATGTGGTGAGTAAAGTCATTGATTTAAGAAAATATATATTTCTATTAATTTTCTTGTTTGAGATATAATAGTAATAAAAAAAATATCGAGTTTAAATCTCATTATTATCAAATAGGATCAAAGTATCTTTTGAAAGCACATATTAAATTTTAGAACTCTTAAATTGGTTATTAATGCTTGCACTCTATCTCATTTACTATCAATTTTTTTTTCTTGATTTTAAATCCTATTTGTTAACTAATATAAGTTAGGAACGTCAAAAATATTTGGTCCGAGTTAGGCATAAAAAGCCTCCCATATTAAAGCATTTATTGCTTATTATAGTTTTAGATATCCAAGTAAATGAAAACGAAAAAAATAAGACTTCAAGCTAAAAGTATCCTCAAGCAAAATTTCGATTCACTATGTGACATAAATGGAACTGAAAAGCTATAAACATCATCATAGTGCAAAATCACTTTTCTATACCAAATATTATCTATCTTCACATGCTTTTTCCATTCACTCATTTCTACTCTTTACACACTAAACTTATGCACCATGTGGAGAAGAATAAATGGCAGCACAATTGCTCTCCACTCTTAATACAAGGAACTCATATTTGATATAACCAATAGAGATCATGCAGATCCAATGATCAATGGTTGATTTCTTGCAATGGAGCAATAAAAATGTTATTTTCCTTTTGTATGCAAAAACCGCGTAATAAAGAAAAAAAATCAAGGTAGCTCAACCAAAAAATATTTCGTTAAATGAGTTATAGCTAATGAAGAATACAAGAGGTAGAAGTTACATTAACACACCAAATAAAAAAAAATGATTTATACTCAAGTGCCATCTAAAAGGGTTATCATAAAACCCATTAAATATTTTTTCATCCTAAAAATATATTAAAATCGTAGCCATGTCTCATACTTTAATCAACATAACTTACTAAATGATTATTAAATTCACATATAAAATAATTACTATAATATGAATAAGATATCTTTCATCAACATTTAGGTTGTGCTATAAAAAGTTTTAAAGACATACCCTTCTACAACTTAGTAATTGTATCATCCATACCAAAATAAGTAATTATATTTTATATCAAACCAGAGTCATAAACATAATAGACCATAAAATTACATTAATTTAGATAACCACAACATCACTTTAGAAATAAGAATAACAATGTCTCTTTTTTCTTTTCTTCTTTAACCAATTTAAAGTTAAGAGATGATATATACTCAATAAGCAATTACAACAAATCTTATTTTCAAACATAAATGTAAATAAGAATGAGAAAGCTCAAGTCCAAATTATATAAAAAATACGTTTG